TGGGACACAAAGTGAATAAATTGTAATAAGTAAGAAAAATGAATAAATTGAAAAAAGAACGCTGTTTTGGCTTCAATTTTAACTGCCTTGCATAGGCTCACATATTTACACCCTTGGTCTGCTACGGGTGACACCGGGAAGGCTATGCAGCCTTTATGAGATGAAGTCTTTATGGAATGGGGTTTGAGAGTTTATGGCCTCATCCCCCTCTAATTTGTTTTCTCTGTTTCCTGTTTGTGGTTGGAGATATGATCTCTTTGTTTCCCACTCTGGCTACCTGCTCCTCTGCCTCCTACACCATTATGGACTGTAAGCCAAAAGAATTTGTGTATAAGTCACTTTTGATCATGGTGTTTTATCACAGAAAAAAAGTAACTGAGATAAGGCACTTCTGTTAAGTTTTTACAGTATTTACATTTAAAAATTAGTGATATCTCAAAGAAATAACTCAATGATGCAATCTAAGGTCATAGAAAAACAGGGACAATGCAAAATCTCAATGCATTAGATGGCAAGAAACAATAAAAGTTGGCTATAAATTAATAAAATGGATATGATGAACTGAATGCATCAAAGGAAATTTGATTCTTTGAAAAAAAAAAAAACTAAAGCTGTAAAACCTGTAGTCAAACAAATCACACACACACACACACACCCCCCCCACACACACACAGGGTGAGGAGGAGTCTCGAGAGGTATTGAAATTGAATTTTAGAGATGAAAAAGAAGACAGTAAGAGATTTCAATGAAATCAAAACATCATTAGGGAATACACCGAAAAGTTAATTTCTAAAAAACTGAAAAAATTTCTAGACAAAGATGATCTACCAAAATTAAATCAGGAGGATATAAACAGCTTAAACAACAAAATCACACTGAAGTAGTAATAATAAGTCTATGAATAAGAAACACAGAACAAAGTAGATTCAATATCAAATTCTACTACAGTGTTAGCAAACAGCCAACACCAATCTTCCTCATACTGTTCTAGAAAACAGAAAGGGACAGACACTGAACTACTCGCATTGTATAAAGCCACTGTTACTCTGACATTAAAAATGAGTAAGGGTAAAACATGAGAAAACAATAGACATATTCCTGATAAGTACAAAGAAAATTTTCAATAAAATACATGCAAACTGGTTTCCAGATCACACAACATAAGCATGTTTCATTTCACGTTTGGTGGTTTGAATAAGAATGCCCCCGCAGGTTCATATCATAGGGCAATAGTAATAAAATGAAAATGGTGCTGGCGCAGAAACAGGCATGAAGGTCAATGGAGTAAAACTGAAGACCTGAGCGTAAGCATGTGTTACTTACTACACCGTCTATCTTTTCACAGACAGGCTGAGAAGACACACTGGGGAAAAGAGCATCTTCAACAAATATGAATGGGGAACTCAGTGTCCGCATGAGAGAGAATAAAATTAGATCCACTCTATCACTTAGTACCAAAACTAATGAAATACATAAAAACTTAAATGCAAACCTGAAACACCAAAACTGCCAAAAGATAACCTAGGTAGTACTCTCCATGATATATGTGTAGGAAAGAACTTTCTGAATAGTATTCCATTTGCCCAAGAACTAAGACCAACAATTAACAAACGAGACCTCATAAAACTCAAACGTTTTCTGTACAGAGAAAGAATCTATGAATCAAGAGAAAAACCAAAGAGCTGGAGAGAATCTTCATCATCAGTACTCTGATAGAGGATGAATATTTAGAATACAGAAAGAACTAAAATAAAAAAAATAAAAAGCAAAACGATAAAAAAGACCCATTCAAAAGTGGCCCTGGGATCTGAACAGAGAGAGTGTGTAATGGAAGTTTTAGCTTCTTGTAAACTCAGCTATGTTGGGTAAATATGTTTTTCTTTTAATCCCCAGTGTGGGATTTTAGATGAGCTGTAGTTTGCCCATGTTTGTTAACTGTCTAGCACAGCTGGTAACATGCTCGGTACAGAGAGGGGCATGGTCTAGAATTCCGAGTATATGAATTGAGAGCGGAGAAAGAGAAGGAGTGGCATGTGGTTGGTGTTGGTGTATGGCGAGTAGCAGTTTGGAGAGACCAGAGAGACAGAATGTGTGGCGGTTTGGAGAGACAAATGAAGAGAAATGCAGTGGCTGAGGCGACTGCTGGCTGATGAAGATTGGTATGGAGCCCTAAAAGAACCCTCAATCCTAGACAGGAGGAGAAGTAAAGGGCACTCTCTCCCAACTAACCTTCTTCTATGGAGGGTTGGGAAGTTGGAAGGGAGGTTGAGGCCTAAATTCCCCAAATAAAATAGAGTTGTAAAAATGAGTGCAATGAGAGAGTTCTTAAAAGAAGTAATAAAGAGTGGCTAAGAAATAGAATACATACATATATATCACTGTCCTTAGCAATTAGGGAATGCAAATCAAAACTTTGAGATTTCAAATCAGAATGGCTAAGAACAACAAAACAACTGACAACAAATCCTGAGGAGGATAAGGGGACAGGGTGGGATTACATGTACTGGTGGGATTACAACTGGTACAACCACTTTGGACATCAGTGTGAAGAATCCTTAAAAAGTTCAACATAAACTTACCACATGACCCTGCCTGGATCACTCCTTGGCATATGCACAAAGGACTTGACATTGTAATCCACAGACACTTGATCAGCCTTATTCATCTCCTATATTAAAATTTTCTTTTTAAAACTGTTGTGTCTGTGGGTACAATGTGTGAGTTAGGTGTAGGCATAGGTATCAAGCTGGTGAAAGGGGTTTCTTCTCTCACTTTCACGTGGGCTCTGAGTGTGCAATCACACATTGTCAGGCCACTACAGCAAGTGCTTTTACCCACTGGGCCAGCTTCCACCATGTCCTTTTATGAGCAAAGAACGAGAGCTCTACTTTCCCTCCATCACTAATAATGTATCTTGACAAACATTTTAGAATACTATGATGCCTATCACCCAACAGTGACAGGGCAGTATTACAGTTCTAATCTTCATCTCTCTTATTGTAACTAAAACCACGTATCTGTTTTTGATGTTGAAGAGTCATAAAATTTTTCTTTTTATATTTTTGCTGACTTGTAAAAACTGAGTTTTCTTGTTCATTTAATAGAGTTGACATATAAAAAGAAAATTAGTCCTTACTTTATATATGAGTACAAATGCTCTAAGTTACAGTTTGTTTATAGCTATCTGACTAAAAGTTTTAAATCATGCTTTTCAAACAAAATATATGTGTACAAAGACAGTTTGCACAAAAGATCAGGAAAAAAAAAGATGGTTTGTCATTACTTGATATGAATGTTTTGATACATAGTTGATGGGTGGTTTCCTGATATTTGCAGACTAAATGAATAAATACACTTTTGTTAACTATTAATCACTACATTTATTATTATTCACTATATAGCCATTACTATAGGTGGTAGACATACAGGAGAAAATAAAAATAGCTATCTTTACAAAGAAGTCTCATCGGATGGAGGAGGTATGGTAAGTTAATTATAAAATTCTGTGAACATATTAAGTATGAAATACTGCATTACTTTTCTCATTGCTATCGGCAAGAAATGAGTAAAGTGATGAAAGGTTTGTTATAGTTCAAAGTTAGCTCCAACAGTTTGACATGGTGGGGAAGGTAGGACAGAAGAATTATGCAGCTGATTACATTTGCTTCCACAGTCAGAAAGCAGAGAGAATGCCCACGTTCTCTGTGCTTTCTCTGTTTTCTAAGCCTAGGATCCTAGCCCGTGGAATGGCACAGTCATATTCAGGTTGGTCTTCTTTCCTCAGTTAAATCTCTTTGGAAGCATAAGTGTGTCTCCTAGGTGCCTCTAAATTCAGGCAAGTTAACATTGAAGGTAATCACTATAAATCCATCTGTACTGGCTTGTTTTATGTCAACTTGAAACAAGCTGGAGTCAGCAGAGAGGAGGGAACCTCAATTGAGAAAATGACTCCATAAGATCCAGCTGTAGGATATTTTTAAAATTAGTGATTGATGTGAAAGGGCCTGGCCTATTGTGGTTGGTGCAGGTTCTGGGTTTTATTAAAAAGTGAGGACGGTGGGACTGGGAGGAGACGAGGGAGGGGCCTACAGCTGGGATACAAAGTGAATAAATTGTAATAAATAATAAATAAATTTAAAAAAGAAAAAAAAAGGAGGCTAAGGAGATGATGAGGAATAAGCCAGTAAGCAGCACTTGGCCATGGCCTCTGCATTAGCTCCTGCCTCCAAGTTTCTGCCTTGTTTGAGTTTCTGTCCTCTACTACTTTTGATAATGAACTGTTATGTAGAACCATGAGTGAAATAAACCTTTTCCTCCTCAAGTTGCTTTAATAATGGTGTTTTATCACAGCAATAGTAGCCTTGACTAAGACATCATCTCTTATCAGCTTAACACCCAAGCACATCACTTCTAACTATAATATTCCACCTTTGGGTCTAAGGTCTCATGTTCATCTCATAATGCAGAATGCTTTTAGCTCATCTGTGAGAATCCCCAAATATTAAGGTTCTAATATTACTCAGAACCCCAGTGCCCAAAAGTTTCTTCTAAAACTGTAGGCAGTCTCTTCAGGAACATTCCAGGGTCTTGCTACACAGACATCCATAGAAAGTGAAGCATGTCCTGGACTATATAGGAAACCTGTCTGAAAGAAAGAAAAGTCAGGAAGACACGAAGGAGAGAAAGAAAGGAGGGAATGTTTAAATTATTCTATTTGTGCTTGCTAAAACAGTAAGCTTCATGTTCAGTGAAAGATACTATCCCAAAAAGTACAGTGGAAAAGGAGGACATTTAACCTTGCCCTCTATGAAGAGTCACACAGAAAATCAACAAGTTACATGCTTCTAATATATAATGGCACAGAATGATATGCCCATTTCAAAAAGAAAAATTGGGCCAAAGCCACAAGGCATGAAACCTAGCAGGGTAAACCAGAGTTTCTCTACAGTGAAAAGAAACACATTTGCAAATTGTAGAGGAAGTTTGGTATGTTGACTTGCCTCCATCTTGGGTAGTAACTGATATCGCCAGGCTATTTTCATGTTAATATCAGGCTCTGGTGTTTTAGGATTATGTAAATCCTCCAACTCCTTTTTACCATTATCATCAAGTAGTGGTGCAGGGAGTTCCTAAGAAAACAAAAGGACACATTATGTGGCATCAAGGTTAAATATGACAATTTCTTGAACCAAAATGACAATAATGCTAAATTTTTTTCAATGCATTTAAATAGATGCTTTATAATTGATTTAAGCACAAACAGAAATCTTTCTTTTTTTCTTTTTGTTTCTGACAGGTGTCCTATGTACTCCAGAACATACTTGAACTTGTTATGCAGCCAAAGATGAGTATGAACTTCTCATCCTCCTGCTTTAATCTCCCAATTGCTAGGATGACCGATGACCGATGTACACCATCATGTCCCATTCATGTGGGGCTGTGTGCATGCTGGAAAGCATTCTACCAACTAGGCTATATTCATGGCCTTAATACAGACAATTCTAAAACAAAAATGGGGTATAATGTCAGATATAAAGTTTAATGATTTTGCCATGAACTAGTATTCAAAAATATCTGAATTCACAAAAATCAGTTGCTATTCTAGCAAGAATCAGTGTATGCTAAAAATATATATATACTTAAGGAAAATCTGAAATCAGCGCTTCATACTACATGTAATTATTGTTGTGTTTGCCATGAGATAAAATAAAGCATTGCACAATCTGTTTACTGGTTTGTAATTCTAGAATTCAAAATACTTATTCACCGAAATAATGGATAAAGTAACAGCAGAAAATAGAGACACTTATTTTTCCCATATCAAATTGCTGTGTTTTGCACCTGCAAACATTTTACTTTTTAAATAATGAATTAAATATCTATTTAAATAATAGAATTAAAAATCTTATATTAAATATAGAGACACTGAATATCAACTTATTATTTGTAAGGTGACCTATTAAGTAGCTATAAAAGACTTTAAAAATATTTCTGTCATGTGCTATAGTTAAAAAACATTTTATAAAAAGTATATATCATGAATTTATTTGTATTTTTTATTGCCCAGAATCACATATAATGTGGAAATTTATATTAGCAAACATAACTTTATATTTTAAGATTATCTTAGTTGCAATTTTTATTTTTAAAGATCAAAAGCCACTGTTTTTTATTTTTCTTCTAGAGGCAGGGAGAACAGAGTGACGTTATGTGCTCCTGCATAGTTTAGGCTGGCCTCAAATTCATAATCCTCCCTTTTCTGCCTCAAGACTACTGAGACATGTTTTAAAATATGGTAAAATCACTACTTTAAAGTCTATGATCCATTTCAGAGTTGTGCAGTTCTTATCACAGAATAAGCTTTTTATTATAACAAACACCGAAATTAAACAAGACAGAACAAGGAAAGGTTCGTAGTTGTGGAAGTACAGGCCACGCTCATCTGGCTGCATTGTGCTGGCCTGTTGCTGGGTAAAATTCCAAAGTGTAAGTGGGTGGTGGAGTGGAACTGCTCATCTCAAGACGACAGGACGCAGGATGCAAACAGATATAGCAAGAAGGGTGCCTGTTAAGACATACTGTCTCAACAGCGAGCCTCTAGCCAGCAAGTTCCTCTAACTAATCCCACCTTCAGCAATTCCACCAGATTTTAATAGTTTATTCAAATTCTGAATCTTACAATGGATTAACTGATGAAGTCAGAACCTTCATGATCTTATCATCTCTGAAACTGTCCTTACTGCCACACTCAGTGATGTGCTGAGTAAATCTCCCAGGAGTCTTTTACTGCAAACAAGTTAACAACAGAGATTAGCTATTGTAGCCATTATACAACTTCAGGACATTTTCACCAATCTGCAAAGACACCCCATACATCTTAATGAGCCACTGCCAACTAGTAATCTTTCTGTTTATATGATTCTGCTATTCTAGACATTTTATATAGAATGATAAAAAATTTATGTCTGGTTTCTTTCACCTAACATATTTCTCCACATTGTAACACACACCACATCTTCACTCTTTTTTATAAGCAAATGTATGGATATACTGAATTTTCTATACCCACCAGATCATTTCTAACTTTGAATGTTATATTACTATGAATAGTCATACAAGAATCTATTATTTTATTTTAAATGTTTTTTTATTGGAAAAGTGATATATTTGAATATTTGAAAGGATTGTGGCCAACAGTTCTGGTCTTAATAAGAAATAAGGTACAGTTTCACACAACACTAACTTCAATCAATAAATAATGTGCTAACTGTTTTGAAAAGCAAATATGTGCTGACTAGCTGTAAGACTAGATAGGTTCTTCTCCAGATATACTCTAGGAAGACATCATAATCAGTCAGCACAAAGACAGTGTGCTTCACTGCAATCTGGCAAATGTCCAACGTAGAAGCAGAAGCTGAGATTACTTTTTATGCAGCTGAAGATATGAAATGAAATCCATGACTATATGTTTTATTGCCACACCCATTTAAGAGATGCAAGAGTCCTTGGGCAGGTGTTAACACTCATGCTTCAACCACTTTGGAAATCAATCTGGCGCTTTCTCAGACAATTAGGAATAGCGCTTCCTCAAGATCCAGCTATACTACTCCTAGGCATATATCCAAAAGATGTTCAAGTATACAACAAGGACATTTGCTCAATCATGTTCATAGCAGCTTTATTCATAACAACCAGAACCTGGAAACAACTCAGATACTCTCAACTGAAGAATGGATACAGAAATTGTGGTACATTTCCACAATGGACTACTACTCAGCAATTAAAAACAAGGAAATCAGGAAATTTGCAGGCAAGTGGTTGGAACTAGAAAAGAACTTCCTGAGTGAAGTATCCCAGAAGCAGAAAGACACATATGGTATATACTCACTTATAAGTGGAAATTAGCCATATAATATAGGATAAACATACTAAAATCTGTACATCTAAAGAAGCTAAGCAAGAAGAAGGATCTTGGGTAAGATGATCAGTCCTCACTCAGAATGGATATCAGAAGAGAGAGAAAACAGGGAACAGGACAAGAGCCTACCACAGAGGGCCTCTGAAAGACTCTACCCATCAAAGTAGATGCTGAGACTCATAGCCAAACTTTGGGCAGAATGCAGGAAATCTTATGAAAGAAGGGGGAGATGAACAACCTGGAGGGGACAGGAGCTCCACAAGGTGAGCAACAGAACCAAGAAATTAGGGCCCAGGGGTCTTTTTCTGAGACTGATACTCCAAACAAGGACCATGCATGGAGATAACCTAGAGCCCCTGCACCGATGTCGTCCATGGCAGCTAAATCTACAAGTGGGTTCCCTAGTAATGGGAACAGAATCGACTCTGACATGAACTCAGTGGCTGGCTCTTTGATCAACCCCTCCCCCCCCCGGGGTGGGAGCAGCCATACCAGGCCACAGAGGAAGACAATGCAACCAGTCCTGATGAGACCTGATAGGCTAGGGTCAGACAGAAGGGGAGGAGGACCTCCCCTATCAGTGGACTTAGGGAAGGGCATGGGAGGAGATGAGGGAGGCAGAGTGGGAATGGGAGGGAATGAGAGAGGGGACTACTGCTGGGATACAAAATGAATAAACTGTAATTCACATAAAAATTAAAATTAAAATTAAAAAAAAGAAAGGAACTTTCCTTGTTACGTAACACCCCTAGCCCCTGACAGCACGAGCTACTACAGAAGCTCCTGCAGTGACTGGAACTTTGGCAATGGTTCAGGCTTTGTGGAGTTGCAGTAACTTCAGAAGCATGCTGTGGCCCTGGCTCTGACATTGTCACATCTCTGCAAACTACTGAAGTGGGTACCCATTATATTACAGAGGAAATGAATGCACAGGTTTACAGAATTTTTTTGTATATGAATTTCTCGGTCATAGGATAACCCTATAATTAACTTTTTGAAGAAATACTAGAATGTTTTCTGAACTACACATTTTTATATTTTGATCAACAATCTATGAGCATTCCACCTTTTCATTATCATCAACACTTTTCTTTTTTTTTCTCTCTCTCTTCTTTTCTTTTTTAACAAAGACATACTAGTAGGAATAAAATGGTATTCAGTATGGCTCGAGTCTGAATTTCCCAGATGACAATGATGCTCAGTCTTTTAACATGTGCTGGTTTGGACATCTGTATAACTTCCTTTGATTACATCTATCATGCTTTTCCCACCTACATTTTTGTTTCCTTCCTTTCTTAAAACATCCAATTGCTTCAGAGGATGGCCTTAACCTCCCTATTCTATTTTATCCTCACATAAGCTAGAACTATTGACATTACCTGGCTTTTTTTCCATGCTGGGGACTGAACATGTTCCTAGCACATAGACAAGCTCTTTGCCACTGAGCTGAATCCCAGCTTCTTTTTTCCCATTTAAAAATGTACCCCCCCCAAATTTTTATCTTTTTGATATTTAGTAGTAAAAATTTCTGTTTATTCTGGAATGTAGATGTTTCCATTCTTAATGTAGACTTTTAGTTTTTATATTTAGGCCTTGGATACATTTCAACTGAATTTATTTTATTTTATTCTCTACCCCTAGAGTGTATTGTCTGCAGTCTTTGGAACCACTGTATGCCTGTTTCCTATAGAAACCAGCAGAGGGCATCAGATCTTCTGAAAATGGAGTTATGAGGCATGAAGATGCTGGGAGTCAAAGCCAGGTCCTCTGGGGGAAAAAAAAAAAAAAAAAAAAAAAAAAGCTAGTGCTCTCAATTCTTGAGCCATTTTTTCCACGTCCTCAAAATTTTATAAAAATTTGAGAGAAGCGATCTTAAAATTATTACAAGACTAAACTATCATTATATGAAACTTATTAAGTATCTAAATAAGTTGAGTTAAATCTAAATGTCTCTATCCTAGACTAAAGTATGGTATCACCAGTAAATAACAAAGTGGAGAGTACTGTGAAAAGTGTTTCTGGTAGAAAAAAACCATGCATGCCAGTGAGTGTGCATCAGAGGGATGAAGACAGTAGTTCTCTGGGTGTGAAGCTTGCTGACATGCTCATCTCTTTTCTTCTGACATGCAAATGTGGCTTGTGTCATTTAAAAGAAGGCTAGGAAATTTTTCAGTACAAATTAAACAGGAACTGTAAATAAGAAGATATGTT